GGCGTTCCCTGTGTTCCTGCCGGTGGTTGCTGCGGCAGCGGCGGCGGCTGGACCATGTTGTATGCCGGCTGCTCCCTGTATGCTTCCGGTGGCATTCTCTGTACGGGAGGGTAGTACGCTTGGCTTCCCTGTCCGGTGGCCATCGTTCTCATGACGCCTGGCGGCGGCGGCCCGTGGTAGACAGTCCCCGGAGCTGAACCTTGTATCATGTACAGCGGTTTCTCCGGCAGTCCAGGTGTTGTTGCCGGGAAGACGCTTCCTGGGATGTGTTTCCCTTGCCAAAAACCCGCCGGAGCTGGTGGATTCATCTGCTGCAGCACCGTCGCCGTTGGAGGCGGCGGATTTTGGGTGAAGGTCGGAGAGAAGTATCCTCCGGGCTCTATGAGACCGTCCTCACTCTTCCTCCTGTAGACGGCCTCCGGTTGTTGCTGTTGCTGTTGCTGTTGCCGCAGCTGCATTTGTCCCTGATCTCTAATCTGCAGTCTCTGGAATTCCTGAATCTGTCTATGTATCTCCGCCGGATTCACGCCATGATCCGACGAGATCATGCGCTGATTTCCAATGATCGGAGGTTCAAGCTCAGGAGACTCCGGCGGCCCCTCACGCACCTTCACAGCCGGCGGCGGCGGCGTCGGAACTACTTTCTCCGATCCAAACAGAAAATCCGCATCATTTGGAGGAGCAGTTACGGACTTCTCGGATTCCGGTCGACTCGAAACCGAGTTCAGCCCCTCAACGAACCGATCCTGATCCGATTTAGTCGAACTCTCGGAACCAAATCCACAGGAAGGAGACGGCGCCGGGAAAAGAAACAGGCGCATCCTAGCAGGCTTAGAGGACGAACGGAGGAGTCGATCGTACTCGTGCATCATGTGCTCGAGATCGTCATCGTTGGTCACCGAGATCAAGGCGTCGAGGTCTTCACCAGGTAACTGGTACTTGAACGTGAAGTCTCCGCCGACGATGGCGGAGAGCTTGGAGATCATGACGGAAAACCTGATTCCGCGGTCGGTGGAGATGATCTTCGTCTCTCCGCCAACATAAGCGAGCTGATTATCGTGCGACCGCGGCTGGATCTTGCCGCCATAGCTGCACATGAACTTCACCTTGTAGCTCTGCGGCGGGTGCTGCTGCTCGTCCCATGGCGACGGGTTGTCGAAATCGATCTCGCGAGATCGCGGCGACGAGTCGGCCGAGTCGGCGTACGAGTTGTACGAGAATTTGTCCATATCGCGAGATTCTGAGCCCTTTTTTTTAGTCCATGAAGGCAGTAAAGTCAGGAAAGCAGTTGAGAAGAATTCGGAAGAGAAATGGCGAGGACTTGTATCATTTTATCGTATGGCGAAAACGGTGGTGGCGATGGAAATGATAATTTGACGGGACAGTGTACGTGGTACTATTATGAAACGCATGCTGTATGACACGTGGCTTGTCAGATGTGGGTTATGTTTGGGTGACGGTCTGTGACGTTAGTGAAGACTCCTGGATTAGATTAGGGTCACTATGGTGGGCCCAATTAGTGTTTGATTGCGTGTTTGATATTAGAGAGCATGCTTTGACTACGTTCTATTTTTTTTAATTAATTAATCAATTTATTTATTTTTCTGCGACCGAAATTTAGAGAAACGTCATTTATTACGTTTATGTACAAGGGTTTAAATTTCTCGTTCCATATACAAAACTAAAATAAACCGATATATTGTTTATAATTTTTTAAAACTAAATTAAAAAATGGAATTGAATAGAAGAATTATTATAAAGTCTAATTATAAGGAAAAAGATTTCATACTATAATTTGCTCATAATTTCATTACAATATGTTACTCCGTATAGAAGAATGTTAATGATATTCTAAATTAATTCAGACTCGATACAACCACGCCACAAGAGTTGAAAAAAAAAGAGTATGGGCCTGAACCGGGTGAATCTCGCTTTGCAGCCGGTTGGGCCGGCCCAGTATCAATTCAATCAGCAAACCGAACCGGACATTTTTACCGACCCACTACAAATGAACCGGAACCGACCAACGGTTCGGGAATATTACTCAAATAACCCATTTGGGTCGTAGCAACAAAAAAAAAATCAATTTTAACCCACTTTTCGATTGGAAAAGTCCGAAATACCCTTTTCGTTTTATTTTTTACGACCTTATTACGACTAATATATAACTGATATACCACTAAAATAAGACAGATGATTTTTTTGTCACCTTTCTTAGAATCAATTGTAACTATATTTAGAATTAATTACGAAGTCGTAATAACGAAGTTGTTTTCGAACGGATAAAAATCGCGTATTCATTAAGGATAATTTCGTCTTTTTCATATACAAAAAATTGTTATGTTTTTTCTGGTGTAAACGTCGTTCACGTCAAATACGTGCGATCTGGGTGATTTGATTTGAGTAAAATTCCCAACGGTTCCCCTTCGAAGCAACGCCTTTCCGCCATTGACGGAGCTCTGATCCAGAAGAAACCAAAACGAGGATGCCGCCCAAGCTCCGATCTTTGCTTCTCCCTCGCTTCATTTTCTGTTCTTTCCTCCTTCTACTCTTGTATTCCTTTCTCCTCGCCGTCCAACCACAGCGCGCTCCGCCTCTCCTCCGCCGTGCGACCTCTTCTCCGGCCGATGGGTATTCAAACAGGAAGATCCGAAACCATTTTACGATGAGACTTGCCCATTCCACAGAAACTCATGGAACTGCATAAGGAACAAGAGAGAAAACATGGGTCTCATCAATTCATGGAGATGGGTGCCCGATGGCTGCGGGTTGAACCGAATCGACCCGACCCGATTTCTCGGGGTGATGAGGAATATGAATATAGGGTTCGTAGGGGATTCTCTGAACGACAATTTCTTGGTCTCGCTTCTGTGTATACTCAGAGTGGCGGATCCGAGTGCTAAGAAGTGGAAAAAGAAAAGGGCTTGGCGAGGAGCTTACTTTCCTAAGTTCAATGTCACGGTTGGTTATCACAGAGCTGTTCTTCTTGCCAAATATCAGTAAGTTCGTAATTCTGCAGTTTGGTTCTCCCTCTTTTGAACTGTTATACTTTAGAAAATTCATGAATAATGGCTCTAAGGACACTATTGGCTATTGGCATAAGAACATTAAGCCAGCACTTTGGAGGAGAAAGCTTTTAAGCTTTTTACAGACAGAATATCAGATTGGTAGAGAGATGAAAATAGTATATATCTGATGTGTTCACAGTCGCTAATTTGTTGAAGTTGCTTGTTTTGTGTGGATTTGTTTGGCCATTGAATGAGTTGATGAAATCGTTCATATGAATGATGTATTTAACTAGTTTTTTAAACATGGAGTTATACTTTCTAGATACGTTTTTAGCTCAGCATTGTTGGTCAAGTGCTCGCCTTTGGTCTGTCCCGCCATGTTACTTTCTTCAACGATGCAGCATTGCCTTCTCTGGCCTTTGCATATTCAGCAGATTATCACAGATTACCATGTGTGATTTCTGCTTGTCGTGTATGTACTATGTCTTCATCGAAAAAGCCTTATACGTTATTGTTTACATAATGAATTGCCAGCCTTATGTCCTTGTATACTTACCGATATGGTAAAGGTGGCAGCCGAAACCATCTGCAGAAACTGTTCAAGACGGTGTGAAAGGGATATATCGGGTGGATGTTGATATTCCTGCAGATGATTGGGTCAATGTCACTGGCTTCTATGATGTCCTCGTATTTAATACCGGTCATTGGTAAATATACTCCTCCTTTCCTTTCACCTACTCGCTCTGCCTGAAAGTTTTAGCCTTGCCCTTTCTTTTATATGCTTTCTGCAAATGCCGGGAGATGACTAACCGTACACCGATTTCATATTTTTCAGGTGGGGTTATGATAAGTTTTTCATATTTTTCAGGTGGGGTTATGATAAGTTTCCTAAAGAGACGCCCCTTGTCTTCTACAGGGGGGGAAGGCCTATAGATCCTCCTTTACAGATACTCCAAGGCTTTGAAGTAGTACTTGAAAATATGGTTTCCCGTATTGAAAGAATTGTTCCAGCCAAGACCCTGAAATTCTGGCGCTTGCAATCGCCAAGACATTTCTATGGCGGCGAATGGAATCAGAATGGGAGCTGTTTGTCTGATAAGCCACTTGACGAAAACCAGGTACAAAAACGTCGAAAAGCAACTTCTATGAAGCATATGGTTATCTAAATCTTTCTCTGAAAACCGACACTTCTGCATTCTTCTCATAGTGGACTGATAAAGAACAAACCTTTCCAAACCGATCGTTTAAAGGGTGGATTATGATGTTGATGCTAACACTTTGACAGCTTGATTCGTGGTTCGATCCCAGCAACAATGGAGTGAACAGAGAAGCTAGAGAGCTTAACCAAATCATCAAGAAGGCGATACGAGGGACGGATATCAAGTTACTCGATCTAACCCATCTGAGTGAGTTCAGAGCAGATGCTCATCCAGCTGTCTGGTTGGGGAAACAAGATGCGGTGGCGATATGGGGACAGGACTGTATGCACTGGTGCCTTCCCGGTGTCCCTGACACGTGGGTCGACGTTTTGTCTGAACTCGTTCTCGATAACTTTGGAACACGGTGAAGGATCTTGTTCGATGAATCTATAGAGAGAGTACACTTGCTTGGTTTTGTTGACGCTGTGAAGAGATCATCAACCCGGTGAAGAACATTTCTGCAGTGTAGACTCTGAGATTAGCATCTGTAGCAATTAATTATATTCACATTTGGTCTCGTTGTTAGTTTGTAAATGATTCTTTTATATAAATTTATTTTTGTTGATTAGATGATATGATAGCCTCTCCGGCTACTGTTTCATAAGATTCAGTGTTATTTTTTAAGTTTAGCACTTGACGACGTTGTTATATGCTTTTGTTGCATTGTGGAGAAGTCATAATTTCGTATTGTTTTCGCGCAATTTAGAGAACGGGAATATAATTCTGATCACGTAAAATCAAACTAGTAAATATTACATCATTCGGCAACAGGTTCGATAACAAATTAAGACCACATCCATGACTGACCAAAAAAAAAAATCACTGGAGGACTTCACGGAGGAGATTGTCGAATCTCTCGACCAAGTGGATGACGTTTCTGGCGTGACCGCCACACAAAACCCTCCCGGAGAAGGGATCCAGCTTCGTCACGAGCCTCGCGTAAAGATTGGGCCGACGAACAAATGTGTTCTCCAGCGCCCTCTGCAGGACGTAGTTCCCGTACTTGTTCCCGGCCAGTCTCATGAGCTCGCCGTCGCTGCACTCTATCAGGTCGCCTAGAACCAGATGCGTGGTGGGCGGATGCTCCAGAATCTTCTCCACGATGTAGCTCCCATACTTCTGGAACGACAGGAGGACGTAACGTCCCTTCAGCTTCGACGCGATCTTTTCCGTGCACAAGGGGTTACTCAGTTTCAGAACATGCTGCACCACGAAGTTTCCTGACGTGTCCATGCTTAGCCCCACCGCGTTTTCCGCGACCAGGTCGAGAATCCTCTGCCTGTGGGGTCCGGCCACGGCCGTGATGGCTTCGTTGAGGGCGACGCAGCCATTCTCGTCGTAGGCCAGCTCGAGGAAGTGGGTCTCGCCCGCCGAGTAGAACGCGTTCTTCTTCTCCCTGTCCGCTGCCTCCACTGTCTGCATGGCCACGTGGTGTCCGTACTTGAGCTTCATAATCGGGAGGAACACCGAGATTACGGCGTCGAAGAACATGTCGTCGATCTGGACGGATCTTCCCAGGAGTCTGCGGAGGTTGATTGAACCGGTGCGATCTCTGGCCAGCGTAAGGAAGAGATTGTTGTCTCCAGTGACGAGTGACGCCAGTTCGGCGATTCTACCACCGGCAATAAACAGGTCGAACACCCAGAAGAGTTCCAGGGCGGCTGTTGAGGGGGATTGCGGCGGAGCTCTGTTCCCTCCGGCGGCGGACGAGAAGCCGTTGAACATGACGCTAGACATCAGAGATTCTTTTGCCTTTCTCCTTGTTTTGTTTTGGCTTTGAGTTTGGTTGCGAGTGCTGTGGCTGTGATCAGATGCCTCTTTTATAGTGGCGATTGGTCAGTCCATTCCCTACTGAGATTGGAATCGGATAATGAGAAATGGAAACTTAACTGAAACTCAAACTCTAGTAAATCCTGTTCGATTCGAGAAAAGGAAACATTATAGGGGTAAAACCGTAATCATCTATCTCCGAGCTGGATTGCAATAAGGGTAAATAAGTAAAGTTACAACTTGATATAAATAAAATCGTGGTTATTTTCGATAATAAAGTTCATAAATATCCACATGGAATACCGTGTTTTGTATGGGCTTTTCTTCACAAGTGACGTTTTGGTCATTTGGTGTAGCAACTACTTAAGGCGTACATGTTTTATGGGTCGAATTTCTATTGGTGTAAAATGTCTAAAATGTCCCTGGTACAAAAAGGCAATTACCGTTCCTTGTTGTTACAACAATAAAACGGGTATTGAAGACTGTAGATGCGCGAAGAAAAACTCCGAAAAAAGAAAGGAAATGAGATTTCAAAACAAACGTATAAAAATTATATGATGCATTGGGGAGCGTGATGACAAAAGGTTAATTCCGGAGAAAAATTATCTTACTTTTTTTGTGCGATTATCAAATGATAAATATACGATTCGTATACGATTTTATGGTTTCGTCGTCGGATAAATCACCAGACTGTTTTGTTTCAAAAACAAATCTGTTGCCACGGATTTTATCGATCGAGAAATGATGATTATCTTTCAAATTAATCAAAATAATGGGGTATCAAATAGATTTTTTTTTTTTTAAAAGTTTGTAACTCTCCAAGTTATAAGATAGAGAAAATAAAACTATCCTAAGCAATCTAATATGGGGAAAAATCCGGGGATTCAAATCCTTTTAGTTTTCTCATTCGTAAATCTTTCAGTTATATACAACTTAAATTAATTTACATCTCTCGTTTGGTTTATAAGTTACTATAAGAGAACGAAGATTTATCCAATATATACCTTAAAGATAATGAATGCAGATTTTCACGTTATAAAAGAGAATCTAATAGATATTTAGTTATAAATAATGAAAAAGTTATCAAATTGAAATAATTTTTAAAACATAACTTTTAATGAATGTTTTTTTATTGATACGGAGGATAATTATTAGTTCGGAAGAGGGAAACCTTTGAGCTATGCTAGTTAAGAGTCTTGTCCTTCTAGTTCAAGTTTAGAGTTTAACCTTCCAGAATATGTGTTTCTTCTAAATTTGTCAGTTTCAACTGGTTTACTTGTTCCACGTACTTTGTACGCTATTGCGTGAAACCGATGGGTTTACATCCGAAGGATCGTGGTGGTTTCCTCCGTTACAAAAAAAATATTAGTTGGAAAAATAAAAGAAAAAACTACTAAAAACTCAAACTTGAAATTGGATGAAAAAATAAATTGTATACTTTTTAGTGTGTCTAATTGTTTCTAAACTTGAAAAATGTGATTTAATAATTTCTAAATTGTTTAAAAGTGGTATATCGATTTTTAATGTAATTTGACCAAAATAATATTGTTACAAAATCATACGTGACGTTGAGATATCGAGATATGTTAAAATTTTGTACTATATATTTCGATAACGTGATCCGGTGAGGGAGACGACCATGATGGAGATCCCGATGATAATGTGTGGCCATTGGAAGAATCTTAGGCAATCGGTGGTATTGGTCTGTTGCTTGACCTATCAGATCATTACTCGTTCTCATGGCATTTTTTTGTTTTGAAGAACAAAAAATATTTCGATTTTTCTTGTGCTATGTTTTTTGTACGGCATTGTAAAAAGAGGGAGAAAGGGAGGTGTTAACAATATATGATAGGATATATATGTGTACATATATAGTAGCATATGAGTTTATTAAATCCGGTTTGAACAGATTTCGTTAAACTGAGTTTGTTAAATACAATTCTGCATATATAATATAAAATTTTGATGTGTCTTGACATCTTATGTACGTGTCACGTATGATTTTATAACGATATTAGTTTTAAACAATCTTGTAGTCGTTGATTTTTAGATCAGAGCCTATATCATCGCGGGAGATGCATTAATTAGGGTAAATAAGTAAAGTTTATTAATTGTTGAGAGTGGTAGAAATAATTTCGTGTTAAATTTGGCAATTTCATAATGTTATATGGTTCTGAGACTTGACTTTAGATTAATTTGTTAGGGGTTTGAGAAATTGATTATATTGGGGAAAGGCTAAAGATGAGTTTTGTAGATGAGAGTGGTGGAATTGATTTCATCTTATTTTTGCCCAATTTAGAGAATGCAAATATAATTTTGGTCAAGTAAAATCAATCTAGTAACTATTATTTGATTTGGTTTGGTTAATACCATAGGTTATATTAATAATCCAATTAAAAATTATGATATTTTATTATCATAATCCAATATTTGTATTTTGAAATAAAAACTTAAAAAAAATTAAATTTGGATCTTTTAAATTTTTATATTTGCAGAGATTTTGGGGTGAATATTTAAAACTATATGATACAAATTATAATAATATATTTATTATTGAATTAGGAAAAGTAAAAAGTGAATAAGACAATAATAAAATGAAAATAAATAATAAAAATCAAACTAATAATTATTACATCATTCGGCAACAGATTTGGTAACAAAAACATCTGGAAAAAAAAATCACTGGAGGACTTTACGGAGAAGATTGTCGAATCTCTCCACCATGTCGATGACGTTTCTGGCGTGACCGCCACGCAAAGCCCTCCCGGAGAAGGGATCCAACTTCGTCACGAGCCTCGCGTAAAGATTGGGCCGACGAACAAAAGTTTTCGCCAGCGCCCTCTGCAGGACGTAGTTCCCGTACTTGTTCTCGGCCAGTCTTATGAGCTCGCCGTCGCTGCACTCTATCAGGTCGCCTAGAACCAGATGCGTGGTGGGCGGATGCCACAGAATCTTCTCCACGACGTAGCTCCCGTACTTCTGGAACGACAGGAGGACGTAATGTCCCTTCAACTTCGACGCGATCTTTTCCGTGCACAAGGGGTTACTCAGTTTCAGAACATGCTGCACCACGAAGTTTCCTGACGTGTCCATGCTTAGCCCCACCGCGTTTTCCGCGACCAGGTCGAGAATCCTCTGCCTGTGGGGTCCGGCCACGGCCGTGATGGCTTCGTTGAGGGCGACGCAGCCATTCTCGTCGTAGGCCAGCTCGAGGAAGTGGGTCTCGACCGCCGAGTAGAACGCGTTCTTCTTCTCCCTGTCCGCTGCCTCCACTGTCTGCATGGCCACGTGGTGTCCGTACTTGAGCTTCATAATCGGGAGGAACACCGAGATTACGGCGTCGAAGAACATGTCGTCGATCTGGACGGATCTTCCCAGGAGTCTGCGGAGGTTGATTGAACCGATGCGATCTCTGGCCAACGGAAGGAGGAGATTGTTGTCTCCAGTGACGAGTGACGCCAGTTCGGCGATTCTACCACCGGCAATAAACAGGTCGAACACCCAGAAGAGTTCCAGGGCGGCTGTTGAGGGGGATTGCGGCGGAGCTCTGTTCCCTCCGGCGGCGGACGAGAAGCCGTTGAACATGACGCTAGACTGAACGAAAGAGTTTTTTTTTTTTTTGATAATCTCGAAGTTTACCAGTCTTTTGGTTCAACTATAACTTGCAGAGGACCAAAAACATATGTAAATGTCTCTTCCCACGTTTGAATTTAAAATCAAGGTAAAAATATATTTTGTATGTTCTCTTATGGACCGCCCAACTTGGGTGCTTCTTCTTCTTTTATGATATAAGAACGT